TGTTAATTTAATTAATTGGTAAAATACAATCTTCTAGTTTTCCTTTTATGCGTGATCAATCAAATTCTTGATCACGATACCTAATGACGGAATTATTATTTTAATCTAATCCAAATCAATAAATTGAAACACACCCTTTTTAATTTATCCCTAATTCACATTCGTTGTCCCAAATTGACATCTAACAATGTTATCAACTTAACTGAATAAAATATAGATCACAATCTTTTACTATCTGAGAGTAAGAATCCTCTATTATCATACATAATCTTCATATGAATATTGACATACCCGAACGATGTCGTATTAGCGATCCTTGGCAGAACAACATCTAACATCACCAAGTTATGATTGTCCTCATATAAGGCACTATGATGACTTCAAGTCAAAGGATCAATTCACTACCGAACATTAGAGATTAACCACTGACACTCAAATAGTTAAAAATGTGGAATCTCCCAACAGTTCTTCAATGCTTTGCCCTATAACAAAATATCTACGCATTCATTTAAATGTCACCACCCTTTAACTTGTGGGATCAACTATTTACTTTATAAGGAAGAAATGTCACATGTGATGGTTTATCCATAATAACGATATTCGTATTTAAGATTCAATCTTATGTAATTAATAACTTAAAATCACAACTCTTTGTGATTAACAAATTATCAAGATTTGAATCTGTCGACTCTATTATTTAATTTAATTTAATATTAATTAAATAATAGATTTGTCATAAAATTACATCAACTATATATCCAAGTGCTTATGTCCAAAGTTGATTGGATTTAAAGTATAAGACTTACAGTTTGATCCACTATTAAGAAATTAATATTGAAATATGTGGTCTCTAACAAGTTTCTCTTTAACTCTCATATAAAAATAATAGACAATTAACTATGTACTTTTTGAATATCGATTACTTAAGCAGTGAGTCGTGTAAAACGCCATCGCTACGACGCTTCCCAATAGATATTTAATTTGGGAAATAATATGAAATTAAAATGTTCCTTCAATAATTTATTTTTATTAAATTAAAATTACACCGGTTTTCGTTTGATTTGATTCTTTTCCATGTTTTTGGACATAAAGATTAAAGTTTAAAAACTAGGCCACATTCGCATTGACTAAATCTATACAAACGTGATTTATTTAGAATTAAAAAGTAGAAATTGATTCTTTTCAATTCTAAGTGATTTAAAAACTAGACTAAATTAGATCATATGCCAGTTACATTTTATCTAAATTCATTAATTAATATTTTACATTATTAAAAATGTAAAAAATAAAAACCAATTTAAGTGGAGATCCATTATAATTCTGGATATTGGTGAATACTTGACATCTATCAAAAAGAAAAATATATAAAGTAAACTAGAAAACCAACAATTAAACTTCAGATCCGACCCCCCATTGACTTGTTTTGAATTCGAATAGATTGATTTTGAATTTTCTCAAAGTATAAATAGTCATCTAAAGTCTATAAAGGAAAAGGGCAAGATTTTAATTCTTGACGAAGAAGTAAATGTGTATTTGTGTAACCTTAAGAGAATTTTCAGTGGATCAATGTTTTTGACTAATATATTTGACAAACGAACACATTCCTTAAATTAAATAATTAACATTTTTAGAAAAAAAAAATCTAATTATCTTCTTCACTCCACACCCAACCACCACTATGCTCCACTATTGTCACCACCAATCCGCCAGCGTGTTACTCAAGGGGAAGAATTCCTAAAATTGCATACAATCATAACCACCGCCATAACCAAGACTTGAAAATCAACCACCACAACCTAAACTCACCCAGTTCTGCAAACATTTTGCAAAACCTCGGGGAATTTCTCACCTTGAGATGGAGGAATGTGTTGGGTGCCGTGAAAAAGATGAACGGATTTATTTTCTTTTTTCTCTTTCTTTTTATGTTTTGTTATTTACTTTTTTTATAGTTGCTACTGACAACTTAAATATTTAGAGTCTATTTGTTTGGCTTTATTTTTCAGTCAAATTTATACTTTTGGAGTCTTTTATTGAGATTTTTTTTTTCATGAAAAATATTTTTTAACTTTTGGTCATCTGATTATATTTTCCTCAAAAGTAAGAGAAACAACTTTTTTTTTTTTCTATCTTTTTCTCTTATCTACTCACTAATAAGAAATAGACAAGTATAATATTTTTCTAGATTGAAAAATAAATTAATCAAACACATTTAACTAATCAGTTTCATACAAATGAGTTCTAGACAATTGAATTATTTGAGATAAATTTTTTTCCATGCAAATTCCATACTTGCAATCAAACGTATCCTTAGAGTATGTTTGAGCTCCCTTTTTTGGCCCAAATTACATTTTGGAATAATATTTTGATTGAGAAAGTTTGGTTAAAAAATAAGAAAAAATTTGGGTTTGTGTGTAACATTATTTTATTGAAAAATATATAATTAAAAATAAGAGAGAGAAAATGTATTTTGAAAATAATGTGCTTAGCTTTTGTTTCATATAGTTTCCTTTTTAGGAATAGAATTTGCTAAAAATGATTTTTTTTAAAATAAATATATGATTAAAAGTAGGACAAAGTTATTTTAATTTCACATGTAAAATTATTTTGTTAAGAAAATATGTGATTAAAAATGACTTTGACAAAAAATAAATTTTAGAAAATAGGATCAAACAAGGATCTAATCAAGAAAAAAATAATAATTTTGAAAAATAGGGTCAAACATTAATGACTTAGCCTTTGCTTGATATAAATTAAAATAAGGTTTTTGACAGATTTTGATAAAAGTTGATTAAATGTGTAGCTGAAAAGTTATAAGACTCATGACATATGTAATTAAAATTAAATAATAATCGAATCCATATGGTTTCTATTCTGCAGATTAGAAAAGAAGGGTACTTGCTCGAGCCAAGCCATAAGTAAGAGATTAGATTCTAGATTATCATTTATATCAAATAGTGTCTTAATTGCTGTATTTTCATTATTGGATTCAAGAGTGCCCAAATGAAGCCAAATAGTATTAATTATTTTCTGTAGAACGGGGCACACCACTCCAACAGCATTGTCAACATGGACTTTTGTAGTTAATAATTGAACGATAAAATTGACATGACATGCATTAAGGGGTAGAACGAAGACAACATCAATGGACCATCAGCAAGGACACTTGGCCCCAAAATTGATACAACGACAAGAGACTTGATATCTCCAGTTCTACTTTTAGTAACCTTTCATTTTTTTGACCACCATAGTGGACTGCATCTAGCAACAAGATTAACATCTTTAAAATTTTAACAAATTTGGGTTCCATATTGACACGGGTGAATATTATCACTAAATTAGGTCTTTTTGTAACCCAAAATTACTAGGGTAGGAATAACTGAGATTTATCACTCAATCTCAAATCTAAACATAAACCTCTCATAATTCAGATGAGAGTTTTGATCGCTACACAACGAGACCATAATAACACCTCTTATACTTGGGTCCTTCACAAATCAAAAATCACAATAATGGAGTAATCAAAGTTAATTTTAAAGTTAACTTTAGTGTTATAATATAGAGAAATGATCTAATGAGCACCAGTGTTCATCTTACACTAAACATCAGTGATTTGTCGTATTAATTTATTGGTATATAATAAATTTAATTCAAATGTTAGTACTAACAAAATCTTTATTCACCAATAAATTAATACGACATATCATCGGTACTTAATATAAGATGAGTATCGGTGCTCATTAAATCATTCTATTATAGTATATAATGTTTTATAAAGTCCATTGACTAACAAAAAGTTATAGATAAATATTTGAGGATTAAATGTGTGCATAAACATTTGAAACGAAGCAAATGGAGGTCAGGATGATCAGCCATGAAGACTTAGGTTACAAAGGTATTGGTTGAACTTTGTTCGAAGAATGCAAAGCCCAAAACTCCTCTCTATTGCGTCTCACCCATAACCCGTTAATCATTCATAACTTTGAAGAATGCAAAGGCCAAAACTCCCCTAACCATTGATTTGATCGTTTGAGTGTAAATGGTCGTTGAACATTTTTTCTCATTCGACGACCTTCACCTTCTAACGGGATTTTTAGTCTGCAGATGTCTATGTGGAGGGGACGAGATCGAGATTCTATTGTAGCATTTTTTAAGGTCAACACATACTACACTAAACTTCATGGGATTGGTTGACTATTACAAGAAACCTCAGTGCTAACGCACAATGTGATTGAAATCTTTGACCACACCTGTGACAAATAGTATAGAGAAATACTAACCATGAAGATGTTGATCATACTCTTCTAGTATAGAATGCGCATAAACACTTGTGTGTAACTATGTTATAAGTAAATAAGTTTACCTTCTCCTTTGCAAGGACAAGGTTAAAAATCAGGATATGCACTTTGAAGACCAACATTTGTTTAGCAACAAGTAATGACCCACTCGGCTAAAAACTCATATACTTCGTACTACCCATTAATTTCAAAGCAACTGTATCTCTTAGAAAAAAGCAGCGTAAATAAATTTAGCCTTTTTTTTTCAGAGAAAACTTAGCTCTCGTTTGTTTTCCATTTTTTATTCATTAAAATAAAAAATATGACTGGTATTCATTACATCAAGTCATATTTGACTTTCTATCTCTTGCTTATAACGACTATATTTTTTATTCTTATTTTTATATTAATGTGTACCAAACAGGACCTTAATTTTGTCCACGTTTAATTACACCTGTTGAGGAATGTTCAGCTAAGCTATGGTTTAGACAGTTTCCAGCTGTTAAAGTGGGGGTTATACTTGAATCTCCAAACTCCACGTTTGATATTGACACCTGTTTAGGACTTTTTTAAAATGTGATAAATATATTTTGTTAAATTTTATTGTATGTGGCTACCAAAAATGCACGTTACATAGATACAAAAAAATTCCCTGTATATATATAGATAGACAGATAGATTGCTAGAGAAATACTTTTTGAGATTTTATATTCCGACTTACACGTACTTATTTTTATTGAAGAATTTATACAATATTATCATGCACAGTATGGCGAGTACTTCAGTTGAAGTAAGAAAAGGTTCATGGACTGAAGAAGAAGATAACCTTCTCAGGAAATGCATTGATAAGTATGGAGAAGGAAAATGGCATCAAGTTCCTCTCAGGGCAGGTAAATATTTCCTTGGCATAACGCGTGCAAGTGCGCACCCAGAAACTAGACGACAAGATAAAAGAGTTGTGCTACTTGTAAATAATGGTTTTCATATACATGATATTGTGAAATATGATTGATCAGAATTTCTTTAACCAAAAAAATTAATAATAATAATAAATAAATGAAAAGACACTTCTCCCCTCTCTTCTTAACATTTCATTTGTATGTAAACTATTATGTAATTAGTTATGTACAAGTAACATTATTTGAGATAAAACTATTGGGACTTAGTTTTGAAGATTTATGTTTGGTGTTTGTAGGATTGAACAGATGCAGGAAAAGTTGTAGGCTGAGGTGGTTAAACTATCTCAGGCCAAATATCAAAAGAGGTGACTTTACACCAGATGAAGATGATCTCATTATAAGGCTTCATAACCTGTTAGGCAACAGGCAAGTTCAAGAACACAATTTCAGCCTAAAATCATTCTGTTAGTTGTTTGTGAGGTTGATAATTTTATTTCGGTTACTATTATATGAGCAATGCAACCGAGAAGAGTGCTATGAAGCTTAAGTTTTAAGAAGTCTTTCAGTAAACTAAGCTATGTTTTTATTAGTCCAAAAATGAGAATTATATTGCAATGCCTTTTTTAGTTCCATAATACCTTATTAGAAAACTTTTATGGTGTTGGTTCGGAACCCTTAAAAGACAAATAAAAAAAAGAGTGAATGCTTGAGTTCCAACAAGCCTATGCAAAACATGTTTGATTGTATTTATAAAAAATTTGTTCAAAAGTGTGTTTTGTTAGTAATTTACAGAACTTTGAAACCAATGTTTCTCAAAATAAGTAACTTAAAAGTAATTTTTTTATTTTTATTTTTATTTTTATTTTTATTTTTATTTTTAAGCATAGCCAAACATGAATTAAGAAAGAAAACAAATATCAAACATAATGTATACCGTAGTGTAGTTTGACTTTTAATGGCCTATGCCTCTCCATGTTGATGCAGATGGTCACTGATTTCTGGTAGACTGCCCGGAAGAACAGCAAACGACGTGAAAAACCATTGGAACTCCCATGTGCAGAAGAAGGTATTGGCTCAAGAAGAGGCTACGAGGAAAGCCCAGAAATCCACCAAAACCACAATCTTGAAACCTCGACCTCGTACCTTCAAAAGAATTGCACCTTTTTCGTCGAGAGAAAACATAACTTTCGAACCAAATATTTCAGTGACGGATCAAAATTTAGACATTCCATCTCCATCATCGTCAAAACCAGTAGATGATGAATGCTCCCAATGGTGGAGTAACTTGCTTGATTCTGTTAAAATTGATGGAGAACCTGAGCCAGGATCCAATGCAATATCTCTTGACAAGGACATTTGGGAACTTTTTGAGTTCTGAAAACAATATAAATGCGGTAGAAACCATTTTTGACGTTTCCATTTTGCTGTGTCTATTACTTTCTAGAAATGGTAAGAAAAATTATTTGAAGGACATAGACACGTTGATGTAATCAGTATGTTTGATTGGTATGATTTGGAATATACCCCGAAACCCTTTTTTTGGTTCAAATGTGGACCATTTTTAATAAATAATGCAGACATATTCTCAAAATCTAGTCAACTTGACAAACTTTACGGACTCATCAATTTATTAGATTTGTTTGCATTAAAGTCTAAATAAATCTTTCGCACTAGATCCTCCTTCAAAGCGTGTTTGACAGGTGTCATTTTAGTTACTTCTGGTCAAATTACTTTTCATGGAAACTTTTAATTTTTAATTTTTTAATTTTTATTTTGGGTAATACTCCTCTCTAGAATAGAAATCTTATTTTAGAGGGGTGTCCCATCCTGCAGAAGTCATTTCCACCCATTTACTTGTGCCGGTTTTCTTTACACCTTCATCGATGTCATCCATTGAAACTAACATACTTCTACTGCAAAACATTCATGAGTTATCAACATAGAAAAAATCTGGGTGTACAGATTATATTTTCACAGATTGTGTACAAAATAGAAACAAGTGTGTGCGTCCTGTGTTATATAAAAAATGTCAAAAATGTGTGTGGCCAAAATCGTGAGTATTCAGTATGTATTCTGGTAAAAATAATTTTGTACGTGTAGAAGGGTTGATCAACATAACACATCATTCTATGAACCCTAATGTTTTGTATAGGCTGTCGGCTTGGCTAAGGCTTAGGGATGACATATACCATAGTTTAGGCCTACCAAGTGACTTATAAGAATGAATTATGCTATGTATACAAGGCTGTACGTTACAGGAGGATTGGGGGAAGATAAAGGTTTTGTCCCATGGTAATGCCTGTACAAATAGAAAAACCCTATTAGGATGTATTGGCTTGTGTTGATCTCTAGAGCATTATCAGCATAATTGTCAAGTCCTGAAACTTTATTTTGATATCTCTAGGGCTAACTATTAACCCTTTGTAATGAAGGAGTGAAATGTTATATGAAGAAGCCTGGGGGTTTCTGCCAAATTAAAATTGAAGGGAGTAAAATGCTATATGAAGAAGCCATGTTTTCTACTGTTTTGAGAGTTATTCCAATACTCATCCAGGTTTTTAATCAATTAATTATTCTACATTAATCACCATTAAACGTTGTCGAAAGACACATGTAATATCTGTTAGATTTTCGACATTACCTAGAAAATTTGATGTAGTACAATGAAGGCAAAGATAACTGCTAATTCTACATGATAGATATGCTTACGATATATTGCTTTACATTTAAGTTAACTTGGCTAATCATTGGACCGAAGAAGCAAACACAGACTTGCTAGTGTGAGCCAATCAATGTATCTCACATCATCACTCGTATCAAATTTGGTTCCGCTTTCTGTTTCATTATTTTAGCCTATTGTTTTGCTAGCTCATTTTATTTATTTTTCAATAAAACTGATGTGGGATCTCCAATTTTCTAGTTTATATTTTTGTGAATTAGTGGAAAATGTCCTAGGTGACCCATCTCATGTAAAATAAATTCGAACTCCATCTCATATATTGAAGACTCGATAATAAATAGGTTTTGTATATCGTGATACACATCTTATACTATATATTCGCAGATACAAGAAGTGCAGCAACACTATCTTCTTTACTCTCGAACCATTTTCAAGTCCATGGATCAGTCTTGAAAATCTCACTAAAATAACAAATAATGAGAAACGTCGGATTCATAACTGCATTTCAATTAAAAAAAAATGTTAGCTAACTTTGACTACAAACCATATTGTGAGTTAATTGATTGCCTCTTAACAAGATTTGGTAACGCCTGTTAAAATGCAAATTTCCTTTTTAATAAGTGCAAAAATCCACTAATCTTTGTAATAATTTATCTAAATATTGTAAAACAGTCAACATAGCATTGAGCTATTATAAACAAAATATAAACTAATGAAACACATGAAAGGAAAAATATTCTTACTGACACAAAGTGTTGAATTTTGGCTTCTGATAACTATTTATGATATGCTTGTATTGAGTTTTGAAGACAAATAAAATATAAAGTATGAGGATTTAGTGTTGGAGGAGATGAAATATCGGTGAAATAAAAGAACCATTGGTTCGTTTTAAATTTGAATTAGATTTATTGTGATTTATTATTTTTGTAATTGAAAGAGCATCCATATTTTTTCTATTTTTTTACTTATTTTATTAGTTTTTAAATTTTGATAAGGGTATTTTAATTTTTTTTTTTACTTTTTTTTGAGTTTTAATGTAATTGGCGATTCTGTGACCAAAAAGGACCAAATTGAAAATGTTTAATAGTCAAGGAGTTAGGTGCAATTTTTTATAATTGTGTTAAGTAGGTTAGGGTTCAAGCTTAGAATAAGGAAAGAAGAACAGTCACAATTTCGCTTGCCTCTCTCCAACACACTGTTCGAGTGACAAAACAGAATGGACGTCGCTAACTTTTGTCACTAGGACGTCGCTCGAGCAATACACCATCACTCGCTTTTTGCTAGGGTGTCGTTCGAGCAACGGCGCTTCTAGAAAATCCTAATTTGTGACTTTCAAGAATTTTAACAGGACCATACTCCCCAAAACGTCCTTTATATAAATACGTGCACCGTTTCACGAAAAACATTGGATTGATCATAGTAAGAAATCACATACACTATTTCTATATCATTCAATCCATTGATTATTGAGACTTGCAATTGAAAAACATCAAAACTCATAAATCAAACACTAAAAACACATACTTCCAGAGTATCTGTCAAAGGTTGAAGAACAACAAAAGTGATCGGAGTTTCGATTGTTAGAGGACAAGAAGTTCTTGAAAATCCACAGGAGAGACGATGAGGGCTTTGGAAATTACACTTAGGAGGCCAAAGAGTACTTGTAGTGGTCGAGTTTGATAGTACTGTAAGCTGATTCGTTTATAGTGAATTCAAACTAGTTTAGGCCCGGAGTTTTTAATCCCGCGAGGGGTTTTCTCCATCATCAAATATCCTTTATTATTTATTTTCTAGCAATTTATTACACTGCAGCAATTTCACATAGGGTAGATTGCATGTGAATTCATGTGGACTAATTAATAACTATGACTTGTTGCAGTTATTAATTAATTTATTCAAATTTCGCGTAAACACATATTCACACCCCTCTAGGTGTGTGTTGGGTCGAATTGCGTAACTTTCAAGTGGCATCAGAGCCTAACTTCGATTTCTAGTCCAAATTTAATTTAGATGAGTCACTTTCTATCTGTGCCTTTGTTTTTTGATGGGAACAACTATACATACTAAGAATTCAGAGTGAGAGCATTCCTTAAGTCCCTAGATGAGCGTGTTTGGGTTATTGTGTAAATGGTTGGTTCGACCCCTCTTCTGTTGTGTAAGGTGTAGCTACCCTTACGAACATTTCACTTTGGATTAAGGATGAACTAGTTGAGTGCAATTGGAACAGTAAAGGATTTTATACACTGTTTATGGCTGTGTCTCCTGAGAAGTTTAAGAAAATATCAATGTGTGAGATCGCGAAAGAGGTTTGAGACATTTTGGAGACCATACACAAGGGAACCAAAATCGTTAAAAATTCCAAGCTGCAGATGTTGACTTCTAGGTTTGAGAAAATCAAAATGAAGGAAGATGAATCTTTTGATGAGTTTTATGCTAAGTTGAATGGCATAGTAAACTCTAGCTCCAACCTAGGTAAAAAGATACCTAAGTCCAAGATTGCTCGAAAAGTCCTTAGATCCTTACCAGAGAGGTTTAGACCCATGGTCACAGTTATTGAAGAAAGTAAGGACTTAGATACATTCAAGATAGAAGAAATCGTAGGATCCCTTCACACCTATGAACTCACCATATCACAGCCAAAGAAAAATAAATACATTGCCTTAAACACCTTGAAGGAAGAGGAGTCTGAGTTAACTAATACTGAGTCACTTAGGAATGGGAAGATAGCTTACTTTGTTAATAAGTTTCAAAAAGTCCTTAGAAACAAGAGGAAACCTCAGGAAAGAAAAAGAAGAATCCTTAGTAGAGTTCTGAAAGACAAGAGTGATAAGGCTGGTAGTAAGAGTTCCAGTGATAAAACCCGTTCGAATGTCATGAGTGTCATGAGTTTGGTCACTATAGGAATGAATGTTCTAGTTATAAGAAGAACTTGAAGAAAGGAAAGAGCAAGGCATTGGTAGTGTCACTAACCGATGATAAAAACAAATTCTAGTGAATAGAGTGAGTCCTCTAGAAATGAGGATGAAAGGAACTATATGACCTTTGTATCTAGTGTTAAGTGTGAACTAGATAAGGAAAAGTTTGGGGAAGTTGAATGAAGTGAGAACTCTGAGGAAGACTCTGAGGATTAGACTAATATCCATGAGGCTTATCAATTTTTGTTTAAGGAGGGTATTAAGATTAAGAAGGTCAATAAAGCCCAGTTGAAGAAGGTAGATGGACTTGAGAGTGAAAAAAAGAGGCTTGCGATTGATTTTCAGGATTCATTCAAAAACCTAATTGAGTTGAAGTGCGCCAACAAGAAGTTGGAAGATAAGGTGAAAATTCTTACAAGTGACCTGGAAAGATCAAACACTCAACTCCAGTCTTTCTTGAGTGAGACTAAGAAACTTGATAACATGCTAGGGATGAATAAGCATGCTAGAGATAGGTAATTTCTAGGATATTTTAAGAGTGATAACTATGCTACCAGTACATCCAACACCACATTCATCCCTGCCTCCAACAGAACTAGTAATACTGCTAATCTTGAACCCAAGGGCAATGGTGTCTTAGGACAGAGGACCTCTAGAACACGTAGGACTACCCAGCCTAAAAATCATTATTAGCATTCACGTTGTTTTAAACCTAGGTTTATTCCTATCTGTCATAACTGTGTTGCTCTAGGACACATGAGGCTTAGGTGTCATAAACTCAAGAATAAAGGTAGAGGTCAGGATATTC